CAGCCGAGCCAACGTGTGATGCCTGAAATCAAACGAATCCATCCCAAAAAATGACAAGAGAAATATAGAAGGCAGTAAAAGTAAGAAACGGATTACTGAAACTGATCTAGTTTGAGCATTCTCATAAAAAGTGAACTCTTCATTACCTCTTCTCCAGAATTAGTCATATAAAACGAGATACGACCTTGACGTTGCGAATCATATAATATACGGTCCATAATGCTCAACTGAGTCATGTCACGATAAATTTTCAAAGCCATCTCCTAAAGCATGTTTCGTTAACAGACTCTTACAAGGAGTCGTTCAGGCCGTGGTGAGCTTTTTCAAAACGGTTTGTTGCATGTTGTAGGGGTCCATGCGAGGACCATAGCGATGGGGTTCATTTTTGCTAAACGGTTCTGGGAATGTCAAAAAAAGGTCAAAACAATTCGAAAAGAATGGGCTTTTTAAACCACCTTATTCGCCTCTGTTCTAGCTGTAGCGTTGACAGGGTATAGTATGTAGGGTATCCTTTGAGCAGGCATGAAAAGGCGCAAATTGAACCGGTCAAAATCCAAATGGTCTACTTGGCATGCGGTGAGCTGCATTGGAGTTTTCCGGTCATCTGCGCTTTTCTCTTCAACAGGTCCTGCATCTCCGTGGTCGAGGTGGCAGATGGGTGTGGTGGATAGTGCGACGGGCTCTCGGTTCGGAGGGTTTATGGATCGGATCCCCTTGCCGACACAGTTTTTGCATTTTTCACATTTCTTGCCTCTTGTATTCCTGTATGCCCCATAATGTGTATGACCCGGATATACGCCATTTGAAGGCACATTCCATGCGGGAACGGTTCACAAATAGGCCTCACTCAATTATTACGCTCGCGAAATACTATCGAAAAAACTCTTCATGAAACTTGGGTTACGGCGGTTATCCGATGCTCTGTTCATGAACACGACACTCATTTTTGAATATGGCAAAATGTGTCGCTAATTTGGTGCAAAGGCTTTCTCGTACTACCATCATTGGCAGTCTGCGCGGCGGGTCCTGGCCAGTATGGCGCTAGATGGCCTCCGCAGCAAAAATAAGTATCTGAACCGTGATCAGGACCATCAATTACCCCTACGTATAGAGTTACGCCGAGAAAAATTTTCCCGAGCTTTTGTGTTATGTTGCCGGCCATGTCTCCAGCTAGTGGCTATCAGCCCCCCCCCTCCCTTCCAACATCGTTAAGGGGAAGCTTTTCATTTGCTAGTATGCAGACGCAGAATTAAAAACTACACAAAAAAAATGACGCACATACACTGCACTCCTCTCATACCTTTGATATGAGAAACAAAAACCTTTCTCCAGGCAAGTGGTAACGAGTTCTTTGTCGAAAGCATAGACGGTAAAAGTGAAGAAAGATCCAGGATGTTCTTTTAGTGGCTCCGAAGCTAGCACGATGTTCTATGAAGACCTACTGAAGTTGAGGGGCAAAAAATGAAAAATTTCTGGCGGTTCGTCTGCCAGAGAGGATACTCAATGGAGGGTTCGCCTGTCACTGCCATCCAAATGGTCAAGCCCATGACCACCAAAAAAACTCGGAAAAAATTTTTTCGCTGAAACCTCTTAAATAGGGGTAATCAATGGCCCTGATCACGATTCTGACAATTATTTATGGCGCCGACGTGATCTGGGGCCAGCGTGGCGCTAAATGGCCACTGCGAGCGCGAAGGGATGCTGCATAAACCCCTGAAGAAACTGCAGTGTACCGCACTGTATGCAAAGTAAAGCACTTCAATTTCGACCTTATTCAATGTTCTTTTTCATGTCTAGTTGAGAAACACTTTATAAACTCTATGTATTCTGCTTTACAGCTGAAACAGATGCGAATGAGATGATAAAACTTGCGTATTTTGAGCGATTTGTTTTTATTCCTTTTTTGGACATTATGACCAATACCGAAAGCCGTTAGCAAAAATGAAACCCATCTGTGTGGTCCTTGTATGGACCCCTACAACATGCAACAAATCGTTTTGAAAAAGCTCACCACGGCCTGAACGACCTCCCTTGTTAGTTCACATAGGAGGACTTCTATTCATTTCTCACCTTATCAAAATTAGGATCGCCTGATTTATCGATAATATTACCCTGCATGTCGCAAACTCTATAAATGGGTATAGCTGGTGTGGCATCTGGATCGACTATCTCTAGCTTCTCAATGAATTGGGCCTAAATGGCAACTTAATGAAGACATCGGAGTTCAAATGAACCAATTTCAAACCAATCCGTAAATATAAAAGTATTAAGATGCAGTTTAGACTTCACGGTGACTCGCGTCGTCGCGCTTCTGTTGCAATAGCGCTCCAAAGCCATAGACTAGACTACGGACGGGAGAGCAGCTATAGATGAGTATCGATTGGCGTCGTCCGCAAGAGCCGCGAAGACAATTCGCGCGATCAAATGTTTTGAGTAGTCAGCAATCAACTATGAACCCAGCAGCCGGTAAGTGACTTTCTAGTAGAGGAAGAAGCAAAAAGTACACAGAGAACATCGCAAACGAAGCCCCTCCATGACAGTCACACACACAGCCTCATCTAACGATCTCGGACTTGTTGGCGACTCGACTTTCTGCAACCTCGGTGCAAACCCTAGCTCACAAATCGTTTTCTCGAAACCTCTAGTGGGAAATGTCACCAAGTAAAGAAAAAAAAGGAGAAACAAAAATAATGAAACAAAGAATAGCTTACGAATACGGTTCATGAAATTACGACTTCGGTAAGCAATGCAAGACGCAATGCAGTACCGACCTCCGCACCAAATCAATTGCATCGCTGCTGAATTTGAGCACCCCCCCCCAAACTCATCTTGCCTTGCGAAGTGTACTGCCAGTGACAATTTTCAAAAACGTTTTCAGGGAAAGCAGAACAATCGTAGGCTTGCAAAAGAGTCGACAAGATGAGATTCTCAACGACGAGCATAGAAAATCAATCTACGACGCAGCACGCAGCACAAAGCAGCGCGCAACTCCTCGTGTAAACCGTTGTCTTGCAGAGTGAAAATAATAGAGTTTGCAATGATCACACGTCTGTAGCCTCTTTATTTCGCTCTTTCGAGTGATGAAAGTGGTACATTCTCTGCGTGTGTCGAATGCACGGATGCATTTCACGAGTCACTTGATCGCGGACATAGGAGCATAGGAGAGTGTCCGACTGGTCGACAGCGTCATGAGAGTATAGGAGGATAAGAGAGGAGCAAACTGGGTTCTCCCTCTCCTATTCTCCTAGGCTCTCCAAAATGCTAGTGCACACACTCTGGCACTCTCCTATACTCTCCCAAGACATTAGTAGCCGACCGCCTGAAGCGGCTTTTTATCTATATCATTGGAGCCCCAACGGTGGCGCACGACATGCTGGTACGAGCACCATAGCGCTACAAGGCGCGCATCGCGAACTCTGGACGCAGCCCTCATTAAACATATATTTACATTTGCTAGTGACGTTTCAAAACACATCTCTAACTTGTTATGTGACGTCAATGAAACGCTACCCGGCTGCTCACAGGTAAGGTACAGTATTGGCTGTGCGAAGATGCGTCAGAAAGCAGGTATATATATTATTATATTATATATATACTTTGTGGTTGAAGAGAACTAACCTTAACGATGACCAAAATACTTCTGCGCGTAAATTTCCTTTCAGAGTGAATTACCTCAGCCAGTTTGGCCGGAACTAAAAACTCTACAGCTAGCCCGTGTCATCGCTACACGAGCGACTGGTAATACTCGTGACAACATCCTGAAACTTATTTAAAAAGCCAAATAAGATAATTTGAATCAATGCCGCAACAAGGAAAGCTGACGGGAGTCAATTTCAAGAAAATGTTCCAGCGAGAACGCTGAATGACTTGAAGTCAATTAGAAAGATTGCTTCCATTGTGGAGGCCTGGATTCCTGGAGACTCCTGAGAATAGAAGGTGGAACACACCACTGTCAAAAATACAAGAAATTCCTAATCAAGTAGTTTAACAGTAACAACATGGAAGAACAATATGAAAGGACCTACAGAAACAGATGGTCTTCTGAAAATCTCAAACCAAAACTGTTATATTACCTAGCTATATACATGTCTTACTTTGAATCGAACTCGAATAGAACACTGAGCAAATGCACTATACTAGTAGCTACAACTTCAGGAATCTGGCTCATCCGTACAACTCCAATTTCATCGCGTTCATACTTCGCGATCCAGCCGATTAGATCGCGAAGTATGAACACTCACTTGGAGACTGGCATTTCATTAACGACTAGAGATATGGTGACAAGGCATCTGTCAACCGAAATTCTGATTTCTGCTAGAATTCCAGGGCCATTCCACGCAGCAGCCGAGCCTCTGAATGGCAGGGAGCAAGGAAGCATTCATACTTAGCGACTTTTTTTGCGCGATTTGAGAAACGAGCAATCGCACGTTTTGGCACCGTTCGTGCCACGCCGCAATGTTTAGATCACTGCGAAAATCGCTGATCGAGCCACTTTACAACACTGAGACCTTCCTCTACAGTATGCTACCGGTTCCGGGTAGGGTTGAGCAGCTGCAACTATTCTCAATCGATGAATCGCTCCAATCGCGATGACCGCAGCCTATGAAATAGTTCATTAGGGGATAAGGAACGGAAGGAGTAGCACGAAAAAGAAAGAAAAGCATAAAGAGAAATGATGGGGATACTCGTTGACAATGATCTCTGGACTGTGAAAATGAGACACAATTTTTCTGACAATCTCTTCGATCTAAGCACAGCAGCCAAGACAATGAGTGACTAGAAGAAAACAAACAAATGGTAATCTAAGGAAACTGCAAGATCACATCAACGACGCCTGTATTTTAATAGGTTAGATAGGCCTAAACTCTATCAGAATTCTAACAATATCATAACCATTAGCAAACACTCGATATCCAAACATGTACCAGTAAGAGGGTAGTGGTATACAAATATTAGACGCTTCCTCAAATTGTGAGAGAAGCGTGAGAGTAAAGGAAAACCTAAGTGGAACATGCGTAAGCTCTGAGTTCATAGCTCAGAACCAGGGAATCAGCCAGCTTGTTGGTTCGATTGGCTGTGAACACTATTAACCTTGTGGGAGAAGAATCGGCGAAGTGGAGAAGATCAAAGATCACTTCGATCACGATAAGGACGATAATCATCCACTCCAGTGTCGAGGCCTGGAAAGAAGGACTTCATTTAAAGCGCAAACGCCGATCGCATAACCAAAGAAAAGGTGGGGGGGGGGGGGGGGGGGGTGTTCCGTCTAGTGTGGCCTCAATTGGTTATCACAGATCCTGTCCCGTATTTGCATCGGACCTCCATGCACAAACGTACAAAAATTTTTCGGGGGAAGCAAACTCAGCACTCGGAACGAAATATTCAAGGCGCGAACTTAGGCCTTGAATGAGGCCGCATAATAATACTAACGGATTTTGCCAGTTAATGAGGCCAACGCACATACGACTACGGTGCCAAATCCGAAGCTAACCCCGAAATTCGCAGCTGCCTGCAGGAATAGACTTCCTAGAGAACACAATAGTAACTTTGTCAGAGAAGTCGCACAGATACGGGCCGACCTCGTGACTACCATGAAAGGCACATCAAATGGTACAAATCTCATCTCAAACAGCCCCTCCAATCTACCACCGTCCCTGAAGAGACACCAAGCTTCAAAGTTACCAGGGTTACCGAATTACCCCTTTTTGCGGGTATAAAAACCATTTTATCATGAGCAACTAAAAGATATTAGAGAGAATAGGAGAAACTCACATGTCGCAGAGCAAGCATATTGTCCACCATTTTCACCAACTCTTCGCAATAATCCAAGCGATTATTTAAACCACTACAAAAAAAACGATCATCCCTCCAAAGTGTTCGAAAACAAGAGAACTGAGTTCAGAAATTTAAAAGGGACGACAAAGACCAAGACAGCAATTAGATACGAACAGAATGCAATGCTAAAAAGAACTACATACAAAAAAGGTCGTAAATCTGAAAAAGATTTGATGAACCAGGGCGATGTTCGGCTTAGGGGGTACCTTGAACTTTCAGTAGTTCCTCTTGCTAGATTACGTCATTCGTATATTCGTGTGTTTACAAGTCTCACCTTCATAAGACTTGTAAATTCTTGTAAAGTTGCAAAAAAATGGTGCAGTTGAGACACACATACAGATGAAAGGTTGTTCAGAAGTTGGCCAGTGCAAGCTTCGCAGTACCAGTTGTTGCCCCCATCGAGCCGAACTCGCCTGAAAGGATAGCTTGACAACTTCGTTCCCTACCTTATGCGCCGTCCAAGAGTGAAGTGCCGCGTGCGGACATTAGATAATACTGCTCCACTTGTGAGCGATCCCAGTAAAAGTCACGATTGAGCAAAGTGCAGTCCAAATTGATAGAATGTCTAGAATTCCAATTATATTGATAACAGCTTCTACTAGTGACGGAACAGAATGAATAAATGAAAAAAAATGAAAAAGAATAGAAAAGTGTGCTCATCCAGCGTGCCCAGCAAAATTCTCTCCGACTTCATGAGAGCTTCTTTCGATGTCCACGCAAAATTACGCTGATTTCAGAGCCTGAACAACACATTGAAGTCAAAAAATTTTAGGCCCATCCGTGTCAAATCAAAGGGAAACACACCTTCGTCGTATTCGATAACGGCTCTGCGAGATCATTGAGCAACGTCTCCCAAACTCCTACTTTGACTGAAAGCAATGTATAAATTGAAATAAGTAATTAAGAAAGTGAAAACTGGCGTTTCTCGGAGACCAGGATGGGAGAGGGTTTTGGTGAATGATTTTGTGCCCTTCAGATGATTTCAGAGCCTGCACTTGATGGCCCCGAAAAAGCCCAAGCGAAGTACAAGTGAGTAATGCCCCCCTCCCATCCTCTCCATGCCCATGTCAAACAGCTGCACCTATGAATTTAGAATGAGAAATATAGAAATAATCAACCTGATGCAGCGAAGGCTTGACTCAATGAGAACCGCTCTAGCACGTTCTCAAATTTGCGGTGATCAGTGCCATGCTTTCTCAGCGCTCAACAGAAAACGATCGTGCTTGATGACGGTCTGATCACTGAAAAAAATCAGATTCCTTCGTATCCGCTTCAATGTTGTGAAAAGGAAAGTACGAAAATAATGACCATCCAGTTGGGGAGGGCACTCCGCAGCGCTACTGCCCCTTGCCGAAACAAAGGCTTAGGCTTACAGGAGTTATGTCTTCTGGGCAAGATTAACCTTCCGCTCAGACTCTGATCGTCCGCACTCTAAGCCTAAACCCTGGGTACGGAAAGAGAAACAGTCGCGGGAGTTCCTCCCCCACCAACTCTTAGAACACTGGAGCAGCACTATATGTGGTAAAAAAACGTGCGAATTCGCATTACTTAATCCTGTCTTGCTCGTCCTCTGGTCCTGCGTAGCAAGGGTAAATTCAAGGAACGGCAAGGCTTTATCGGAGCATAGGATCTTCGCCAAATTTTTCTCTTAACCAACTATCCTGGGAGCTGATGTAGCGCCCAGATGACCAGTAATTGAGCTCTCAAATTTAATGAGACTCTGTTGGGACATGATAAATTATGGCACGGTATGATGCGATGATTGTCATACCCTTCAACCACAGAAAACGGCATTGTATCCTGTTCTTCCATCGTTACTGACGACTCATAAGGACCCTCCATGTAACGCTCCAAATCACGTATAGCATGAGCTCTCTGAAATTCACAGAAATAAATAGGAAGTAAGCCAGTACTGGGAAGAAACACGCTTACATGAGCACAGAGTTTGACCGTCACCAGCAAAGATCGAGTTCAGACTTCGCAATCGGATGGCTAAATGCGAAGTGTGAACGCGGTCTAAGATCGTGTTCATAGTCTGCGACTCGGGAAATAGAATCACATAATTGGAAAATGCGCACCAAGGAGAAGTATAACTATTGATCTGGTAATATGGTAATCTGATAGAAAAGGAGAATCTAAAAAGGTCGAGCTCCTAGCACTGGCGGCGATCGATTTCTATCTATTCCTAGGGTGCGCATTCTCCCGAAAACTTCAATGCTCCTTTGCTTCTGTCGCGAAGTATGAATACTGCCTAAGGCTCAGTTCATAACTTGCGACACTGACCAATCGGATAGGAAAATCGAGTTCCCAAAAAAATATGACTTCAAAATCGCTATAGTTCCTTGTGAGAAGTGGAAGTGCACAGAGTACCTGTGCTTTATAAATAAAATTACCTCGGCATGACTAACATTCCAGAAAACCGCCACTCCATCT